GAGGACACATTTCATTGTTGCGCACTGTGTGCTGTGGTGTGTTGACAATGACCACTGATCACCTAATTCTAATGGTTAGGGAAGCACACTTGTAATTGAAAGATTGCTGGTTCGAATCCCTGACCAGCAAAGCACCACTGAGTTACCCTGAGCAAGGTACCAATCCCAAGCACTGCTCACCGGGCGCTGAATTACCTGCTCCTATGTCACGATGTCACTTATGGGTTAAATGCAGAGGACATTTCGTTGTTGTCCACTGAGTGCTGTATGAACAATGATCACCAAATTCAAAATTCTAAAATTCAGATTTTCTAGATGGTCCTCCTTGTTCATGACGTAGTGTACTTTCTGAAGTGCACCAGGCCCTTTATCAGCTAAACATCCCCACAACGTAATGCTGCCACCACCACATGTTACATTTGGGATGGTGTTCTCTGACTCAAAAGCTTCACCCTCCCTTCTCCATGTAGAGTACTGTGCATTATTGGTAAACTGCTTGATTTTGTTTTGTCTGACCAAATGGCACAGCTCCAAAAGGCTAGGTTTTGGTGATGCACACTTTAGTATGGCTTTATGCTGATATAGACATTAGGGCCCCTTCCCTGTGTGAATTTGGTACTGATGTCTACTGCTCCTTCGCTAGTTCCTTTGTCGTTGTTCAAATGAACCTTTCAGAACAAAATTTTTTCAGCTCTGGGTGGGTCTGTGTGGTCCCTAGATATTTGTATTTTCATCAGGGCTGTAACGGTACACATATTCGTTGTGTATCATTGTGTACATCATTTTCGATTCTGTCCGCATGATGAAATGAATTAATACATTTACTGACATGAGTGGAACCTAAATTCACAAGTATTCATTTATTTATTTATGTTCAAGTGTATGTCCAACAGGGAAAACATTATGCTAATTGTGACTGTGAGTTGGTTACGGCTAATGCTGGTTACAGAAAATTTGAACCAGTTTGGGAACATTTTGGTTTCCCAGTAAATTACACCAGCACTGGAGAGAGAGTACTTGATAAAACCAAGACTGTCTGATGGCTTCTGTGATGCCAAGGTTGGATATGCTACTGGAAACACATCTGAGACATCATGTGAATTAGCGTGCAACCGGGGCAAGGCGAGTACAGCCTCTGCGAATCTGCAGTCTCCCCATGGCATTTAAGGGACTTCTGCCAGGAAGCTCAGACTGGCCCAGAAAGAAACCTATGACTGTAAGGGTGTTTATCGCTTGCTAGTGGAAAACATGGGATTTAGACAGGACTTACTTCATTATGATTGTTATGATGTTGTATTTTTTGTATTTAATTTGCATGTTGATTTTTATATTGTTTAAATAAGGTTTTGTTATTCAGACACATTGACAGACACCTTACCTTTGTGTTGTTGATCCTGATTGTGTTTGTGTTACTCCTAAGGAGGAATTGGAGTTGTGGTCCTCAATTTTTTTTTCTCGGACGTAAACGTTATGGGGCAGAGTTGCTTAGACTCTCCCACAGACACAGGCCCACTCCCACAACTCATAAATAACACAGTCAGTCAGAGGCATATGCTATAAAAACAGTACAGTCACACTGCGCGTACGCTATAAAAACACTGCAGGCACACTGCGCGTACGCTATAAAAACACTGCAGGCACACTGCGCGTACGCTATAAAAACACTGCAGGCACACTGCGCGTACGCTAGTGTTGTAGTTCTCGAGACCGGTCTTGGTCTCGAGAC